GATTATATAAAATAATAAAAAACAAACTGATAAAAAAATAATCGCTTTTGACTCAAATCAGGCCTCAAATAGAATAGCAAGCAATTTAAATTGATCTCTGAGTGTCAAACATTATTGTATGTTTCTGTAATTTTCGCACGAGTTGATGTAAAAATCATGTTCTTATGTAAATCACATATTTAGTATATATTTTCCTTTTTTATCAGAATACAACTTACTATACTTTAAATGTACTTTAAACAACCTCTCCTAATTTTCTTGCAATAAATTGTGAATAAACATTGTATTTTTATAAATCATAAACCTGATTTCGGAGCTCTGCATTACAGAAACACCATAGTGTACGTTAGAAATTATTATTACCCCTCACTTTTCTCGTAATGCTAATTTCCCATAGGCCTCTGGGAGTTATTTTTACTGTTAATGCAAGTGTACCACGTGACTAAGAATTTTGTACTGTTACATAGGTAACAGTATTCTTAACAGTTTAAAATCTGGTCACGTGGTCTATTTTCTAAATAAAATGAAATAAAATGGCCGCCATTTTTTTCTCGATTCATTCTTATTTTCAACGTTAAACCCCGATAGGACATCAATTTCTTCTCTGGAGTAACTATGACACCCATAAAATTTAGTTGTTTGCAACCTGGTGTGCTTTTCGCGTATAAAATATCTTTTTGTTGAATAGTAAAAAATGAACATCCGTTTTCAACGGAGTAATTGCAATGTAAATAATTATGTGTCAAACTGGAACATGCAGACGATTTAAGCATGCAACAAGGGATTATTTTACAATTTTAAACAGTGAAACGTTACAGATATGGTGGACAGACATAGGATATCATCGTTATTTTGTCAAAAACCATGCTAAGAATATTCTGGAAACAGAAGGATCAGATTTCACAGATCATAACCGTGTAAATGGGTTAGTGTTTTGTTTTCTAAATAAAACCTAGCTTATTGTATGCTTATGATTTGTAGATATCATCAACTGCTTAAAGAATAAAAGAAAAAGAAAACTTCTCAAGTAGGCCTAAAGTACACTTAAAACTTAAAAGGTAAGGACAGTTTAGTTATTGTTACTCTTGGTTTATTTTTGTTACAGTTAGATTTAGTTGACAATTTCAGATCAGCAAAGTATTTTTGTTCGGGGTAATAAAATAAATAACACATGGGTTTGTGAGTAACAGTAAAAATATCATCCCTCGTAATAATACTGTTACCCTCGGCTACGCCTTGGGTAACAGTATTTTCCTCGGGATGATATTTTTACTGTTACCCACAAACCCATGTGTTATTTATATATTGTTAACAACCTGGCTCTTAAATTAACGTATGATACAATGTTCCTGTTTAGTTGTAAACATCTTATAGCAATAATTTATAATAAATCTTGTCAGAGGTAGGAAATAAAGTTACTATTGACACACTATGATACTATTTATAGCTGGTAGTAAAAAGTTAACGGAAGGTCAACATATAACTGAGAGTATAACTTCCACTTCAGGCTCACTATTTTTATTATTACTACTGCTTAGTTTTCAAAAGCAACGTCTTAAGCTTCCACACGTCATTTCTTTAATTCTCAATAGCGGAGTTTTTTTCTCAATGCAGATCAAGAAAAAAGAAACCACATAATATTAGGAAGGCAAAATATAAACTATTAAAAGGCTAAGGGGAATAAAAGGGGAAGAGAATATGATCAATAAAGAAGTAGGGAAAAGAACCTTAACATGATATCCCCCAGCTTTTGTTATTTTATTATCATTTAAGTGTAGTTCAAGTCTCCAATGAAATATAACCATCTTGGCAAAGACTGTATTGTTCTATGATATATGATGGAAAATTACTATAAACGCAGCGGTTAGTCATCGCTAAAACAATTTGTTTACATTTCTTATCAATTTTCACGTTATTTACGCATCGTTCAAATCTGAATCAATGGACAAAAAGGTTTTTACTGTTAAAAAGATTTATGCACAATCTGTGTTTAATCGGTTATCAATTCATGCTTTGTTACCATTCATGTTGCATTTAATAGTAATTAAGGCTTTACTGTTTAACGTTTCACTAACAGATAAGGCTGTCATATGTATTTGAGCCAAACAGCGCATGAATATCATCAAATATGATTAGAGTGAATAACTGTCAAGTGTATCTGGTTGTCTTTTAATATAGGGTTAACGCACGTTTGTCCGTGTTATAACGAGCCCGGTAGGGCGAGGGCTCCAACAGTTCCGAGTGACTCTGCAGACTTTTTAACGCGAAATAAACGTGCGTTGACGCTATTATAGCATAAAATTTTAAAACAGATTCATGATGTATTTTATATATAAAACACACACATAAAATCCTTGTGCTTGAACGGTATTTATCCTACTCTACATGTTTTATGTATGCGTTTTATTTTTTCCGGGGCCAACAAAAATTAAGATTCGAACGAAATTTCAAATTTTAATTGATTTAACAAAGTTTAACTTTGGAGATATAATAACTTAAGAAAAACATAACATTTCTCTACCCAAGACAAAACAGGTGCCTCAGAAATTCCTAGAATGATTACAGGTTGGCGGTAGGAAAAAGATCAGTGACATCAGATTCAATTTCAGAATCGGTTTTTTTAAGCACGCAAGTTTAAAAAAAATCAGGCATAAAACATTATTCTCTCAAAGAAACATACAGAATATTTATTAATAAAACAACGTTTTCTTATATTCATTTTGTGCTTTCCATTTTTGTAAGTTAATCGGGGGATTACATATTCTATTTGTTTACACTGACAACTGTCCGTTTCTAAGAAAGGGCGACAACCAAGATAAGCGGCGATGCCTATACGCCGTATTGCCGGCATAATTACTTGAATGCTGCTCGCCGTTATGCGACTGAGGCCCTCGAATTAATAATTCCAATATAACAAGAGCGCATTACTCTGGCAAACAGGCCAAATCGTCATTTTTTGTTTGTTTACTGGGCCCTCTATGTTTTGCGCATAGGTAAAACCGGGCTATAACAAGAGCGCGTGACTATGTTAACGCATGGTTTTGGCCCCGTTATAACATGGGCAAAAAAGAGAAAAATAGCCGATTTTATGCTATAATGATAATTGTATTAGCTCCATAACAATATCCCTGATTATACACGATATGTCCTATTGTTTATCTATTCGAAGGAGCTTATTATTTCTTTTATTACTTTTTATCAAAATTACTTTTATCTGTGTCAGTTTATTATAAAGATATCACTAATTTTATGATAGTATCGGTAAATGTTCAATGTTCATCTGTTTCACTTTGATTTTATTTGTCTTTATGTAGTGCTTCTCTTGAACGTTTATTTTTCCTTCTGTTTACTTTGTTGTAACTTATCTTTCTTCTGTAGATTTTTATTTCTTTTAAGTTTCGCTTCAGATCTTTTAGTTAATTTTGTTTTTCACTATTCACTTTTAGCTCGACTATTCGCAGAATAATCGAGCCAATGCAGTCACCCATTTGTCGGCGTCGGCGTCCCTGTGGTTAAGTTTTTGTATGTAAGCTGGTATCTCCATAACTACTGAAGGGAATGGATTGAAACTTCACACACTTGGTCTCTGTGATTATCTAAGATGATTGGCACAAGTCCCATAACTCTGATTTACTTTTTCGCATAATTATGCCCCTTTTACGATTCATAAATTCTTGGTTAAGTTTTTGTATGTAAGCTTGTATCTCCATAACCACTGAAGGGAATATACTGAAACTTGAAGGGTTTGTACCTTTTTGGACAATTTTATGTATTCATATAGGTAAGCATTATTATACTATCAATGAAACACCCTTGTGACAAATTTTCGAATAGTCGAGCGTTACTGTCCTCCGACAGTTCTTGTTTGTCTACCTATTGTGTACTTTTATATTGTGTGGTAGTTTGGTAATATTTTAGTTCTTAATTTTAATTATTTCCAGTTCTATATATATGTTTGAATCCTTTCTGACTACTTTGCCTGCTTTGAACTCAATGCCATCAAATTTACTTCAGTTGTTATCATTACTTATTTCATAATTCTAACATTTTATCAATATCATTGTATTGTCATTCGTTTGCCTATTTCGTCTCCTGAAAGTTTCATATTTCATATTTCTACTTTAAAAATTTACTTAATCAAGTTTTCAAATACTATAATAATTTTACGAAAACATTACATTATTTTTTACTATTTTTTCCTGGTCCATATAACACAGTTACCAAGTTGTTAACAATACACAATTTCTTTCTTTTGGCCTTTCGTTCGCGTTTTGCTTTTTGAGATGCTCTCTTAATCTTGTTATTTGTTCACGTTTCTACGTGTTTACTTACTCTTTAATATGATTAAATGTTCATCCAATCTAAGCATCAAATTCGGTAAATACTGTTTTCGTTAACAATATTTGACTTGGAGTTGAAAGACAAGTAGAACATATATAATATGTCTTGCGCAAATGTTGTGTTTGATTTACAGCGCACCAGCGCAGTTAAGGTCATTTGGTCAGATGCTAGCCAGATCCGTAATAAAATTGAAAGTTTAAGACTACCGCTTCATTATTTATTGAAAAATGTTTCTACAGTAATTAAAATGTACAAATCATGTAAGGCTCTTTTGAATGACATGGTGCTGACTGTAAAATGTGACTCTGTTAAAGCTGGTCAAAAAACCAGCCCTGCTTTTCATATTCATGCTACGAACAAATATTCCTTATAAAAACTGACTTAAATAGTTTAATGATATGTTAAGCGAACACTTATTTTATGCAGCAATTGCCATGATGAGTGTACTCTTCTACACTATAATTACAAACGTAAACACTATATTATTTTACCATTTCAGCTTTTAATAGGCCAGTCAATAAATATCGGAAGAGACGAGGCGGCATTGTCCAATAATATATCAAATTCATTTGTAAATACGGAGGCTGTACCATTTCCCGACACGCCATCTAATCAGTAAACGCTCACTGTGTTATGTTTTCAACAGTAGGAACAGGTAGCAGACATGTAAAAGCGAATCGCTCTCTAAAATTAGAAGTTTGGTGGAAAATTCTCAGAAAGAAAAATAGCAAAGCTAAATATAAACTAAGATAAACAAACTTAACGCGATTTAATTTTGTAATTATTATTTAGTAACTGTCATTGCGATTCTTAATCTTTTCTTGTAATTTTAGTTTTGAGTTGAAAGTAAAAAAGTAAATAATGGAATTCGATGAGAGCGATTTTTCAGAAATATCGACAGAGAAAGTAGATGTGTATATTCGCAATGGGAAGTATTTTGACGGAATAGAACAAGCTGAAATGAAAGTTAACATTTGGCCGCTTATTTTTACGTTTATTTTTGCAGTTCTTGGATTCATCGGTAATAGTATTGTCATATACATCTACTGGCGGAAGTGGAAGACATCTAAAACACGAGTTTTTATTTTGACATTAGGAGTTTTAGACTGGTTTAATTGTGCTTTTAACATGCCAGTTGAAATAGTCGTATTGTGGCTCCCCCTGTCATTTGACTTACATTACTTGTGTAAAATATCACGCGGTTGTACATTCGTTATAAACAATACAGGATCATTAGTACTTGTTTCAATAGCCATAGAACGGTATATTGTTGTGTATCACCCGCTCAAAAACAGACAACTTACACCAAAATTCGCAAAAGTGATGTGTCTTCTTGCGTTCACAATATCTTCTTTATTTTCATGGCCATCTTACGTTTTCTACGGAAGCCATACACTAACAATTCAGATTGCAAAGGGCACCTTTGTTGTTGGAAAAACCTGTTTGATTGCTGATGAACATGAAGTTCGAACAGGACTACTGCTGATATTTACCACTGTGTTATTTACCCTACTTGTATTAGTTTTTATAGTACTTACTGTCCTGTATATTGCTATCGGGCGCAAAATATACATCGCAACGTGTACAGATCTCACCGCAAATGGAAGGGAACAAGTGAGAGGTTTGTTAAAAAAGAGTATTATTTCGGCAATAACTGGAGTTGCCGAACCCACTGAAAATAAAAGCAACTCCACAATTAGACACACAGCATATCACAATAGTAATAAGACAAAAAGAAGTTCCCAAAGTATTCAGGAACAATCGATACCAAGCATAATAGAAAATGAAGATTCAAAAATGACTTCTGATTCCAACGAAAACGTGTCTTCTACGAGTCTGAAACATAAAGTGCGGAAAGTGAAAGCTACTCGGAAGAACACTGTAATGATGCGCATGGTTACCATAGCTTTCATGGCATCATTTACGCCGTTTCTTTGCATTCTCATAATACGTTATACAAATCCTATGTATTATTTTGGACTTGGAACTGCAGGCAAAATTGCCTATGCTGTCTTTCTAAGAACTTATTTCATAAATAGCATGGTAAATCCCTTTATCTATGGATTTATGAATTTGCAATTTAGAAAAATGGTTAAAGATTTGTTTTTGAACATATTCTGTTGTAAAAGTTGCAGAAGAGGATATAGTAAATTCACTCAAAGATTAAATAAACAATAAACATTTTTGTGATAAAACATAATTTGTTGTTCATGCATCTCATATGGCAATGTTTATTTTTATGTAACATAACAACAATAGATTTTTTAACAAAAGATATGTTTATTTTTTCATTTTTTCAGATTGATATAATATTTGTAAAGTTTGTTTTGAAGATATAGAAAACTTATGAATACACACGTTTTATATTACAAGATTCTGGCAACATATGTATATGTAATATGTGCAAGGCAGTTAAATTGTATTTTATTCAATAAATTCATTATCATTGTTTACAATGTAATTGTTTTAACATTGTTACTTGTTTAATTTTTTAGTTATTTTTTTTGTTTAGTTCAATACGTTAAATCACTCATTAATATAATTATGACTATAGGCTCAAGATTTATTACATTAACACGGATTATGTAATTATGAGTCCATCCAATATATTTTGCTTTATTTCGTTTGGTTCTTAAAAGAGGGAAAACTGAAATTAATTGTCCACTCGTGAAAATGGAATTAAACATACAAAAACTAACGTTCAGGGGCAAATGAATCAAAACTAAAAAAAAAACCGTGACCTCAATTTCTTAAAAAAATGTTTCAATTATAATTCACTTTAATCATACCATAATCACAAAGTTCATTTACATTCTTTGAAAGAAATGGAGAAATCACAGCAAATTTCTTCAACTTCAGAAGAACAAAAAAAAACTTTATTTGGTAAATCATTTTAATTTTTCGGTTTTCAGACTTGTTATAAATTCAGAACAAACTCCTTTAATTAGTTATCATTTTACTTTATGCTAGAAAGTCAGTCAGGTTATGATTAAAAATGATTCATTTTCCCTATAGATTATAAGAAAAAAAAACTGAATTTTCAATACTTGCATTTATTCATTTATTTATAAGTCATAAAATTGTGATTACTGATCTGAGGCTATTGCCTTCTTTCTTGAATTGTTGTTCATATTTGAAATTATATACCAACGAATTATTTAATATCGTTTAATATTATTTGCTTGCTTTTGTTTTATCTCATTCAAAATACCTAAATATGTGGGATCAGATGAATCACAAGTTTGTTTTTTTTTATCATCTTTTATTCTCACATATTCTTCATATCTTAGTCGTAATTCGTGCATACCGTGAGAAGAAACAATCTCTTATTTACTTTCATTTATACGCAAATATTATCTAAACTAACATGAGATAAGGTAAATCCAAGTTGTATGTATTTATAACGAAATATTCCGAACGATGTCAGCAGATCAAAGTTGTTTGAACACAAAAATAATCAATGTAGTTTAGACCATATGTTTTATGGTTAAAAAGTCCTGCGTTTATACAGTTTTCATATGTAATCGTTTCTTCAAACAAAATGGTTGATGGTTGCCGTAATAAAATATAATTGTCACTTAAGTAGTTCTGACGAAAATAACAAAAGCACCATATGTACATATCAGCTTGATTTCATTTTATCACCGATTTATGGTAACGTTATATCATGTTAATATCCTGACTATCTTTATAATAGTGAACATTTCAACAACAAATTAACAACAACGACAACAGATAAAACAACGAATACACATATTTAAAAGCAAACAAAAGGAAAAAAACAAATAAACAACAACATGCCCCTCTCTGTGTAGCTTGTAATGAAACATTTACTGTCATGCATGTCATGATTTTTCACAGGCCAATTATAGATATTATTGTGTAAATTCACTCAAAGAACTCTTTAATACAATTCCATAAAAAAACATCATTGATTCTTTGAAAGAGATAAACGTGTATTCTATGATCTAATTGGCTCATTTTCATTGTCATTTACAATGTTTAACATAACATTAAAAGCGTTTTATAGGATTAGGCACGATATGGCCAGGTTTGTGTTGGCGTGCCTAAAAAATCCAAACAAACAAAACAAACTACAAAAAATAACATCGTGTTAATGATAAACAAAAATAAAAGGTAAGTTGAAGTCATTGATAAAGAAAAAAAAAAAACAATCGCATTTTTATCACAAATAGATATGATTCTTGCAATACAAACGGTTCATAAGGTATTTTACATTCGTGTGCAGCATTCAGAAATATAAATAGTAATGTATATTGACATTTTATGTTTATATATTTAACTTTACGGAAGCCTGGGAGTATCATTTAAGCAACGGCAACTGTATATTTAATTAAATATGACTGTGGTATTGAAATATAGTTTAATGACAAGAAGCTTTTAAAACATCAATAACTTTTAACTCAGGAAATGTAGGTATATTTTTTTTTGGTTAGCTTTCACGTATCATATGGCGACATTCTAGTTTTACTAGTTAGAATGTGCTCCATATCCCTCCTTAAAGTATATGTGTTTCGTATCCCTTTCAAAAGCACTTTGTTCCATAACATTTCTACTTGATGAACTAATGCTAAAACAGCACTGCATTAATGAAAAACATTAAGGTAAAACACTCACATTATTAGGAATAGCAAATTTGCATATAATTTTTTTTTCAGATTTATTCAAAATCACAGAAAATTTGTGTGTACCTAATCCTTAAAAAAAACAGTCCGTTCCGTACCATTAAAACATAACTTTATATAAATATGCTAAACATCACTTCATTTACGAGATATATAGGACTTAGTTAATCTATAAGAAATGAGCATTTTTATTCTCTAAGAAACAGTGAAAAAGAGCAGGTTGACGATTTACTAGAAGTCGCTTGTTGTGATAAATGAGTGTGTACCGAGCTAAGAATAAACCCGTACTCAAATGTTCATAAAAAACATTCAGGAGTTTTAAGAATTTTAACCGTGGGTAGCTTATATAATTACGGGTACTCTGCGCCTTATCTGATCAAAATCGATTGAGCAACAGTAGACTTATTAATGAAAACATAACTAAATCAACAAAACAAGCATATGTGATCATTAAACGTAGAAGTTTTTTTTAAGTTTCAAATAGTCAGGCTTAACTGACAAATCAGCTTTTCTCAAAAAGTCAAGGTAAAATGATACAACAATTCTTTCAAAATGTCGAAATCAAAGAAACTGATAAACACAAATAATATTCCAGCGAGAAATGTGTCCAAAGGACACAGCATGCCCCTCACACTTATGACACTTGAATATTTCAATAAGTTATAATTATAATTCAGTAGCAATAACTGTAAAAGCCTTGAATTAACCCACATTCGAAACCCCATATGCACATCTAGAAATGCTGATCAATATTCCTGTGAAGTTTTTTGACTCTACTGAAAGCACTTTTGGAGAAACACGACAGAATATTTTGGAACGGGACGGACATACAGTTGCAGCTAAAATTTTGCTCAATAAACATATTGAATAACTAATCATGGGAAATAATACACTGACAGATGCATTTATCTTTCCGAGTACAACAGTAAATGTTTATACACAATAGAAGTAGCTTCAACACTTTGATTTAAAATCAAAAATGAATTATTTACATGTTCTGATTCTGCTTCCTCCCCACACAATACAGACTGTCCACAGTTGTGCTTATACGGCTTTGTTCTGATATAAAATGACACTTAGATTGGACCATCCCTTGTGCTTTTACATATTCTGCATAGGACCATTTAGTTCCATTCAAATCAGTGAATTAATTGATTATTTCTCCACGTGGATCAATCAAACAAATTTACATATTATCTATGTGACCAAAGCAACTGTAACCTTCCTTGAAAAACATCTCTTTCCCTTTATCAACAATATGATTGACAGTTATGTCTTGGTCAGCTTTGTATAATACTGTTCAAATTCCACTAACTATTCTGCATGCATGTTTCTGTAATGCTGCCATCCCAACCTAACTTTGAATTCTGATCGTCGATCACTCCCACATCCACTTCTGGCATTATACCCTGGTAACGGTTTCCCTGAAATCAGAAGTTGGGTGTATTAAAGATGAGACAAGTTCAAGATAAAACGTAAAGGAAGATCAAGTATGTTTCACGTGAAAAATGACACGCATATAATTAACAACACGTTTTGGACATGATCATAAATCATATGTATATTGGCATTAACCTTTATTTATAACTTATTATTTATTACGTATTATTTATAATTTATTATTTATAATTTACCTTTATCATTATTTAAAATCTATTTTTTTATTACTTGATGATTAAAAGTTATCAATCATTTTAATTACTTTAATATAAAGCTAAAAATTCTCACTTTGTATGTGCTAGTGTGAAAGCACTAACTACGTGTGGTCTGAATGTGTTATTCAGAATGGAAAGTTTCTAATCAGGGGCAGTACATCAACAACTATTCTATATATATACAAACCAAGTTTAATCCTTTACATTTTTTCATTAGCATAATCGTCCCTAAAAACATATGTTGATTTTTTTTCTCGAAAATATGGATATTGTCAATCTATGTCCTTTGTACCCACAGCCCCTGTCTGAAATCATGGAAAATAAAGATCCTAAATAAGCCCTTTTCGTACAAATGCTTTCTGGTATTATTTTTTAAGGCCTATATTTTTACAAATCATGAAATGTTGATAAATATGGTAAATGATTTTACCATTAACATGGCCTTAGTTTTTCACACTACTTTAAAGATGGAGATTTGTTTATACATTGTATAACAAAACGATGTGACAAAAAGGTTTTTTACTACATCATTATTTTAGCTTTAACAGAAACAAAGTAAGAATTTTAAATAAATAAGAAATACTTCTAAATAACATTCAGCATTTTAATTACTAAATCACTAAAACAAAGAGACCATGATGCCTGATACGCTCACCTAATAAAATGTAGTGTGATTTAAAACAATAATTTCATAGACAATCCTAAAATTGTGCTTTATGCACATAGCAAGCTCTGTTGCAACAGGTGTGCATAAAAAACGAGTTTTGCAATAATTTTATTGACAAATCGTGCTTGACATGATTTATTGCAATTGATTACAATCGGTTTTGCAATAAAAAACGGGGGAGGGGGTTTTTTGGGGCAATGTAAAAAACTTTTATTTTGTTATTTCTTAAATTTTCGGATTTTTTAAATTGACATTAGTACAAAAGAATTATAAAGATTTATCTATGTATAGTTTAGGAATGACATGCAGGAATTATATGTCGCGGGATCAA